TTGGTGAATTCAATTCTATGGAATTGAATCTCATGGAATTACAATTCCAATTCAATTTTAATTCCATCAATTCCATATACCAAACGGACCCTTATAATATGAGGACCAGACTCAGTTGAAGGTAACAATTTCTTGATAGTAGAGTGTATCATGCATATTTAATGTATGAGCCTCTATCATCGTATCCCTTCCCTTTCTTTCCTCAAACCAAAAATACTGTTATGATCTATTTGAAGTTCTTGTTAGAGAAGAGATGTAGAATGAACGAGGCTTGCAAAGAGTCTTGGGTTTCTCGAAGGGCGGTTGACCCTCACTGCTATGCCGTTGATTTCATCTCTAAATTTCAACAGCCCTTCTTGTGGAACTGAGTAGGAACTATAACGCCGTTTGTGCTGTTATATTTTCCACAACATATGATAATACTCAGTAATAATTGTACTCCCTCCGTCCCATAAAACCCTTTAGGGTTTGATTATAATTGTCATGACTGATGAATGGCGAGTAATTTCATCTCTCAACTCTTATTGTTTGGTAGACCCAGGACCCAGATTTTTGAGGCTATGATGATAATTGTTCACTTCATCTCTGACCCAAGTATTGGGCATGGTTTAATCTGACCTGTAACTTGGCAGGGCATGCATGCCAGTGGATGTCATTGCAGCCATGGCAGTGTTAGAACAACCTTTGCCCTGTACTCAAATCTGAGCCTCCATACTGTTGTACACTCCTTTAATAATGTTGGGTATCGAACTCCCATCTATTCGGGGCTTGTTATTTTTGTTTCGTTGTCATGTTCTTCAGTTGGATTGTTACCCAGAAAGAACAAGGCCTTTGGAAAAATATGGATTCCTGAGATGGCCATGTCTTTGGTATTTTCTTGTAAGCTTGTACTCCCTCTGTCCCAATTTAAGTTGCTTGTTTACAATTCACAGGTCAAACGTTAACTACGTTCTTTACCCATTTTTGCTACCTATTTGAGAAAATAATATAGTCTTGTCACCTCTTGTTTTGTAGATTTTATTATGTAAATTTTAAATATATATAAATATATTTTAAAATTCCATTCCAATTTTCAAATAAATAGGATTGATTAGTGTACTCAATTATTTAATTTTTTTGAAGTCATTGTGTTGTCAAGGAAATGCTTGATTAAATGACTCACTCTAATTACATTTATGAAGTTCTTATATTGCCTATAAAGTTCTTATATTGCATATAAGAGATTGTTTATTTTGACGTTTATTTTTTGAGGTTATTTTATTTCACATTTTGGAACAAACCACTTGCCCTCACGCACGGATGCAAATCTAGTTATAGGTAGAATGTCATGCTGAAATTGAAATTCAATGACGGAAAACCAGTTGCTATAAAAAATGGGTTGGGTTTAATGCAGGTTCCTTTAGTATTTCAGGATTGAAAATGAAAGAGGCTGCAGAGATCATGAGGATTTTGTAAGGGTTTGTTGTTTTTCTCTGTTTGCCAATGATTTGCCCAAAAA